TTTCAGTTGTACATTTTTGTTAGTCATGTTGTGGGTACACCACTTCCCCCTTTGTGCTCTCCCCCCACCCCCCCTTTTCCCTGGTAACCACCGATCAGATCTCCTTATCAATATACTAACTTCCACCTATGAGTGGAGTCATATAGAGTTCGTCTTTCTCTGACTGGCTTATTTCGCTTAACATAATACCCTCGAGGTCCATCCACGTTGCTGTGAATGGGCCAATTTTGTCTTTTTTTATGGCTGAGTAGTATTCCATTGTGTATATATACCACATCTTCTTTATCCAATCATCAGTTTCTGAAGCCACACCTCTGTTTTATTTTTAGTGATTGCCCTAGGGATTAAGACATGCATCTTTAACCTGTTACAGTCTGTTTTGAATCTACATTATACTACTTCACAAATAATGTCAGGAACTTATAACGTTGTACTTCTATTTACCCCTTCCCACCTTTGGCTATTTTAATTCTGTATATGTAAAAAAATCCCATAATAGGTGGTGATTATTTATGTTTAAAACAGTCAATTGTCTTTTTAAATAAATTAATAAAGTAATCTTTTATATTTACCCACATATTTGCCATTTTCAATGCTCTTCATTTCTTCTGGTAGATGTAACTTTCCAAATGATATCATTTCTCTTCAGCTTTAAGAACTTCCTTTAGTATTTCTTGAAGTACAGGTCTGCTGGCAATTTCTCTCAGCTACTGTTCACCTGAAAACGTCTTTATTTCTCTTTCATTTTTAGAAACTATTTTTCTTGGCTATAGAATTCTAGATTTTCTGGGTTTTTTTTTTTTTTATATGTCATCTGTTATCTCCTGGCTTGCATTATTTCTAAAGGGAAGTTAGTCATTCTTATCACTCTAATATTCCTTTTTTACTTTAGCGGTTTTAAGATTTTCTTTTTATCTTTGGTTTTTAATAATTTGACTATTATATGCCTAGGTGTGTTTTTCTTTGTATTTATCCTACTTGGGGCTTGATGAACTTTTGGAATCTGTAGGTTGATGCTTTTCATCAAATTTGTGATTTTTTGGCTATTATTTCTCCAGAAAAACTATTGGCGCTATTTATCTTCCTCTCTTTTCTGGGATACCAATTACAGTCATGAACTGCATAACAACATTTTGGTCCAGATGGACCACATATACGACAATGCTCCCATAAGATTAGTACAATATAGCCTAGGTGTGTAGTAGGCTATACCATCTAGGTTTGTATAAGTACACTCTATGATGTTCCCCTAACAACAAAATTGCCTAACGATATATTTCTCAGAATATATCCCCATAGTTAAGTGACAAATGACTATACACCTATTAAACTACTGGATTATTGTTATTATTATTATTATTCCTGGATATTATTATTCCACAGGTCATTGGTACTCTCTTCACTAATTTTTTCTCCGTTTGTTTCAGTTTGGATAATTTTGTCTTCAAGTTCATTGACACTTTCTTCTCTGGTGTCCAATACGCTATTAAGCCAAATCAATGAATTTTTGATATCACATATGTTTTTCAGTTCTAGAATTTCCATTTGGTTCTTTTTTAGAGTTTATATTTCCCTCTGAAATAATTCTTCTAGTTCCCCATTATAGCCATCTTTTCCTGTGAACACTTTAACATATTTATAATAATTGTTTTAAAGCTCTTATCTGTTAACCACAATAACTGGGTCATCTGTGGATCCACTTCCCTTGATTATAGGTCACATGTTTCTGTTTCTTTAATCATCTCATGCTTTTTAAAAAATAGCATTCCAGAAATCTTGTATAAAAGAACAGCAGAGTCTAAAAATATATACATTTTTGTTTATTTCACAGAAAGTGCAATCTTTTTCTTCTGTCTGGTGTTTGGGTTAAGAAGCTGATCGTTCACATTCCTCCTAGAGTAGAACTGAGTTGGGGCTGGACTTAAGCTTTATTTAGTTTGAATTCAACTGTGATTACCCCAGCCCCCAACTTAGGCCTCATTTTTATGTTGTCAGTATTTGAACTGGGAGGGGGTGGGCTATAGTTTCAGATATTTTTGACTCATCTTTGGACTCAACTCTGGCAGGTCCCTGGAATTTAAGCACTGTGCAAATGTGCAGGGCTATGCTATTCTGTCTGCTTTCCAGTATCCACTGCCACTTTTGCGGCAAAATACAAGAGTCAGGTGTGAGGGGTGGTGGTGTGGAGAACTACCCGTCCAAGTCATCTGTTTTCACATTGGGGCTCTTCCAGATTCCAATCTGTCTTGCCAGCTCACACCACAGCTCAGCTGATTTCCTCTCATCCTTACAAAGTCTCTATGACTTGCTCCTCCATCTGCTTGTAGCCAGACTGGGCATACCTCCAGGTATGGAAGCTACTGTGACTTTCTGAACATCTATATAGGGCTTGTTTATTCCTGAAATTCAATTCACCAAGGCTTCCATGTATTCACTGCTCTTTACTAACCCAGTAGAAAAGAACGATTTTATATAGGTTTTTTTTTTGTCAGTATCATGATGGAAAAGGCTTTTCATGTCTTTCTACATTCTAACCAGAAGTGGAACTCTCCTGGATGTTAGAGGAACAGCAAGGAGGTCAATGTGGTTGGAGAAGAATGAATGAGGAGAGGAGGCAGAGATGAAGTCTGACAGGTAACCAGGAGTCAGTTCATGCTCAACCTTGTAGACCACTGAAAAGACTTTGGCTTTTACTTTGAGCAAGATGGGAAGCAACTGGGTGGTTCTGAGCAGAGGAATGACGTAATTTGGTATGGCTTTTAACAGGATAACTCTGGCTGCTGGGATGGGAATAGACCGTAAGGGGCAAGAGAAGCAATAGGGAGGCCAGTTATTACGACAATCCAGGCAAGGCATAACGGTGGCTTGGAGTACTAGTGAGGTGGTGAGACAAGTCAAAATCTGGATACATTTTGAAGGTAGAGCCAACAGGGTTTGCCAACAGCTCAGATGTGAAGTAGGGGAAAAAGAGGAGTTGAGGATGTCTCCAAAGTTTTGGCCTGAGGGACCAGAAGGATGGAGTTCCAGTTGGATGGGGCAGATCGAGGAGGAGCAGACTTTGGGAAGTACCCCTTAGCCATCCAAGTAGAGACGTTGAGTAGGCCCTTGGTCTGCAGTTCAGGGAAGAGATATAGGTTGGGCCTATACTTTTTTTTTTGTACAAGTGAGTGAGTGAATGTGATAAATCCCGTCAGTCTGGTTTAACGTAATAATAGCTAAGTTTTACTGAGTACTTCCTCTGCCAGGCATTGTCCTATGTTCTTATATATGTTAAATCATTCAGTCCACACCAACCCTAAGAGTTAGGTTCTACTATTATCACCCACAAAAGGGAGGTGTATTCGTTTGCCAGGGTTGCCATAACAAAATGTCACATACTGGGTAGCTTAAACAACAGAAATTTATTTTCTCGGAGTTTTGGAGGCTGGAAATCCAAGATCAAGGTGTCAGTCAGGCAGTTTGGGGTCAGGCAGTTTGGTTTCTCCTGCGCTCTCTCTGCTCGACTTGCACACAGCCTTTCTTCTGTATACATGCACCTCCAGCGTCTTCTGTGTGTCCTAATCTCTTTTTATAAGGACAGACTGGATTGGGAATAAGTCAGATTGGATTGGGGTCCACTCATATGACCTCCTTTTAACTTAACTACGTCTTTCCTAACATAGTCACATTCTGACGTACTGGGACTTAGGACTTCAACATGTGGATTTTTGGAGTGGAAACAATTCAGGCCATAATGGGAGGTATAGAGAGATTAGGCAATGTTCACAGGGTCACACTGCTGGTATATGGTGGAAGTAGGACTTGAACTCAGCAGGTCTGAGTCACAGCCTACTTTCTGAACATAGTCTATATAACCTCCTGAGTCATGCTATTCATACCTTGGTATAGTTTATTCTCCACCTGTGATAGCACACTATACATGTGCACAATTCCTTATCTGACCCCTTGGTGCCAGATAATATGGGGCACATATCATGTGTCTTGCTACCACTTCCAGCAGGGTCTGGGCCAGCACTCCATAAGTAAATACTTTACCAATTCAGCAGAAAAATGTAGTCATAATCACCCTAGGTGGGATAGAAATCATGAATAGCTTCATATCATTTTAATAGGCTTTGATGCCAAATGTGTTACACACATGGTTTTTCTTCTTTTTAGATTTTGGAGCTTTGGGATCTCAGAATTTCGGATAAGGGATTGTGGACATGTACCTGTAATTCTCGTTGTGGCTGTAACTGTCCACCTTATTGAGTTTTATACTCCACTTTCTGATTCTACACAATCACTCATGAAACACACTGCACTAAAGCAGTTTATCCTGTGATGGCCAACTGAATATGTGCCGTGTGAAGCCCCCTGTGGGAGAGGGGAATGGAGGCAAGTAAAAGGGGGAGGTTTGGGTCCATGGCTTTGGTCACAGGAGGAAAAACCCCTTGGTCCTTGGGTGGAGGTTGTAGCTGAATGTTACCCCAGAGAAGCTGGAGCACCTCCTATAGAGGAGGCCACAGCTCCTTTCTCCAAGGTTTTCTTTTAGCAACAGCTGCATCTTTTTTTTTTTTTTTGAGGAAGACTAGCCCTGAGCTAACATCTGTGCCCATCTTCCTCTACTTTATAGGTGGGACGCCTACCACAGCATGGCTTGCAAAGCGGTGCCATGTCCACACCTGGGATCTGAACCGGCGAATCCTGGGCTGCCAAAGCAGAAAGTGCGCACTTAACCGCCGTGCCACTGGGTTGGCCCCACAGCTGCATCTTAACAGGGCCTTCTGGTTACTCCAGAAGAGGGATTCCAATTGTGGATCAGGGCAGGCGGTGGGAACCCAGAGGTTTGGGGATCCTTCTCACACTATTCCATATTGGTGGCTGCATCTTGGCCTAAGTGTGGACAATCCTGTGAAGAGAGAAGGCAACTGTAGCAATGCCATGTGAGTGGCTCTGGTCATGCAGAATCTAGAGACCTCGCCCATGGTTGGGCTCTGCCCTCAGGAAACCAAGTAACTCAAAGGCTTAAGGGCACAGAGCTCCTTGACAGTGCAATTTGGGGCCAGAGGTCAGGGCAGTCCAGACTTCCCTCTAACCGGGCAAGGCTCAGGCCCAGCTGTGGATGCTGCCATACTTGCTGTCCCCTCCTACTTCCTCCAGGCACTGCCTGGCTTCTGGGGCAGAGTTCTGAGTGACAGCTCATTAGCTGCAGAGAGCCCGTGGAAATCTAAACTTTAGGACAATCTGTCTGGCCTTGTTTGGGAGCCAGGCTGGTCAGCAATGGCCAGAGAACAAAGGGCTCTACAGCTCTGGGAAGAAAACAGCATGAAGCTTTAATGGTGCACTGTAAAGGTGGGTGTAATGACCTGGGGCCAAATTCCCCTACACTCCCAGGTCTGCTCCTCTGCCAGCCTTCCTAGAGATTTCCTTCGATGGCTCCATGCTGCTGGCATGCGCTCACATGTCTGCCCCACTGTAGCTGCTGTGCAGATTCTCTTCGGGGGGTGGGCACTCTCTAAGGGTCATGTGCCCGGCAGGCCCACCCTTCCCGGACTGAAGAGCTCTCTGCTGCCTGAGGATTCTTTGGGGCTCAGGCTCACCTTAACTCACTGCTTACGTGAGCCATGGATCTGGAGGGAGAAGAAGGGAGGGCAGCTGGGCCTGGATCTGGAAGGGGAAAAAGGCCGAAGTTGAGAGGGCGGAGAGATCAAGGGAGGACACTAGGTCTCTGTGGCACTGGATTTCTCGCCCTCACCTCAGGGAGGCCCCAGACACTGGCTGCTCCTGGGCTGCAGCAGTGTCCTGCCCTGCCGTCATGCCACCTGCTTCCCACAGGCCGGCTTATCACATTCGCTTGATTGAAATCACCACTGGCTACCCTAATTAATTCATTGTGCATGTTTGCTTCTAAGTATATGCAAATATATGCAAATAAGCACACCATCTGTGGCTATCCCAAGAGTCCTGGTGTTATTTTTGCTCAGATTCCCAGGTTGGGAATGTGGGATTCATGTGGGCATTCCAGAGGGCTGGGGGCATTTAAAAGATGGGACCATTTCCTTTTTAAAGAAAACAGCCCACTTTCCCTCTACTCCCTTTTCTTTTTTCTTTTAGAAATTCAGCCCTAGACTCTGCAAGAGAATGGAGAAATGTGAACCCAAACCCAAAAATGAAAGCCCGGAAGAAAGCCCCAAGCCCTCATGGGAATGGGTACAACCTGTGAGGCGCTGTCTCTCCTGTGAAGAAACAGGGTCACAAGATTGTCATATTATTTTTTACACTAATAATTTTAGAATTAAAATCAACTTTATGTTCTGCTATTTGCGTTTCTAAGTTGTGTACTGGAAATGTAGATTGTAAGTGAAAATGGATTCAACCACAAGTTTGCCACAGCCCTGGCTGGGGAATTATCAGAGAAATAGTTAACATGTAAATCCTACCCTGTTCTTAATTAGCAATAGCTCTGAAAGTCACAGACACCGAGTCTCAGGGACACTGGTGCTTCTGGGGGGTCACAGAGGAGATTCGGGCAGCTGACCGATCGTACCCCTGCCACTCCTTCCCTTTCCTGGGAAAGGGAAGGGAAACTAACATTTCCTGAGCATCTATGTGGCTGGCACCATTTTAAGAACTCGCACATTTGTTGTCTCATTTAATCCCCATTTTTTATAAACAGATGAAGAAACCGGGACTCAAAGAAGTTCAGTAACCTGTGAGAGGTACAGCAGGATTTCTCTCTGTGTCCGAGGATTCCAAACCTGGCCCTTCTTTCACTACCAGCTACTTCCCTAAATCAGCCTGTAGCAGAGGAAGCTTCTGCTTTACAGGCAAGCTCAACCCAGGAGTCTGGTGGCTATTCTCCCTAACTTCAGGCAAGGCTAGGAGCCACAATCCATTGTTTCCAGAGGCCCCATTTTGCATAACCACATATCCAGGATGGCACACGGGCTCTAGGGGACCCTGGCTTCCATTTTACTTCCATAGTCTGCTAAGCTGCACACCAAGTTCTCTTTCTGTCTGAGAAATCACCCTAGACTTTGAAAGCACCAAAGATAGGCCAAGTCAGGCAGGGTGTGGCCGCTGTGTGTGCTGGGTAAAGGCTGCATCTTGAGACAATCTGGATCAGGCTCCTGGGGTGCAGGATGGGGGCTGATAGAGGATCTTGCTTGTTTCATGAATAAGTAAAGGATTTGGGCGACACCAGACGCTCTTTGTTCAACGCAGACGCCTCCTTGTCCTCCAGAGGGAATTTAACACTGAGTGATTAAAAATGAACATCAGGCTCAAGCTTTCAGCGTCTGTTTCCTGGGATGGTGGTCCATCTGAGCGGAGGGGCAAGATGCATCGTTCCACGCCCTCCAGCTCCACCTCAGGTTAGCGAAGAGGCTCTGTTTCCCACTGTGTCCCTCTGTAGGGCAGATTTGGGAGGAGGAGGCGTAGGATGGAAATTAGGTCTTTTAGGCCCTCCTCCATAACCTGCATTAGTAAATTTATTAATTTTAAAGTCTGAATCTTCTTTTCTTCTTGTTAATGCAAAGCTCTCCCTAGAGGTATAGTCCTCAACCCCAGATGTTCATTTGAATAACCTGGGGAGCTTTACAAAATTCTAAGTCTCGGATCCACAGAGATTCTACTTGGTCTTGGGGAGACCACGGGCATCAGCAGTTTTTTAAGCTCCCCAGGTAGTTCTAATGTGCAGCCAATGCTGAGAACTGCTTCATCCATACCACTCGGAGGAATTCTTAAAACACAGACCGCTGGGCCCCACCCTGGGAGTTTCTGAGTCAGTAGGTCTGGCAGGGAGAAGAAGAATTTGCACTTCTAACAGTTCCAGGTGATGCTGACACTGCTGGACCAGGGACTACACTTTGAAAACTGCTGTTCTAGAGAGACTCTTAATGGTGAAGGCAACTGTTAATAATAACTCCTACTATTTATAGAGAACTTACGATATGTTGAGCACCTTGGTGTCTAGCATTTTACATTCCTATAGTAATCATATTCTGTATAATATGATTTCTTAGGTAAATTATATGCTGTTTTTAACATGTTACAGTTATTTTGTATGTGTTAGGTTTGACTCCCCAGCTAGAATATGTACCTTCTGAAAACAGGGCCAATTGTTTTTTCATTCTTTTTCTGGACTTTCTCTCCCTCTCCTGTAGTTGTCATACAGTGCTGAACACATAGCAATAGCTATGATTTGTTGAGCATCTCCTATATACCAAGGCACTCTACTAGGTGATTTGTATAGTTTCTTACAGTTTCTGTTCCCCAACAACCACAAGAAGAGGGTACTATAATCATCTCCATCTGAAAGGAGATGTAACTAAGTTCAGAGAGCTTAATTTACTATTCCCAAATCATCAGTAGGTGCCAATGCTGGAGTTCAAATTCCCATTTGTCTGACCCCAAAACCTTGTTCTTACCCTGTTACACTGGCTTCTTAACTGAGTCACAGCATTATCTCTGACCACCTTATTAAATCCCCAAGGAGTCCTGGCTCCTTTCTCAATGGCCTCTGGGCCTGACTGGAGTGGAGAAGGGGTAGCGGGTCTTGATGACTTTGGGGATGCTGGCTAGAATGGGGGGAGTGGACTAACCAAGGCCTCTTGGGCCCCACAGCTTTTATATCCTCAAACCACTATACCTGGCGCATAGTTGAAGCACAGTATTTATTTAATAGACTAGCACTATCTGTACCTTATATTATAGCACTTGATTGTATACTGTTTTGCGTTAATGTCCTCTTTTTCTTCTTCTGTGTAAAGTGTACCTCCTCAAAAGACTAAGAAAACAAAAGATTACCAAACCTAATCCAGCAATACATAGAAAGGATTATACGTGAAGCGGAATTTGTCCCAAGATTGCAAGGTTGGTTTAACATATATAATCAATCAATATAATACACAGTATCAAAAATAAAGGACAAAATCACATGATGATCTCAATAGACACAGAAAAGGCATTTGACAAAATCTAACACCCTTCCATGATAAAAACACTCAATAAACTAGAAATAGAATGAAACTTCCTCAGCCTGATAAAGGGCATCCTCAAAAACCCCATAGCTAACATCATACTTAACAGTGAAAGACTGAAAGCTTTTGCCCCAAGATGAGGAATAAGACAAGGATGTTCACTATTGTCACTTTTATGCAACATTGTACTGGAGGTTCTATCCAGGGCAGTTAGGCAAGAACAAGAAATAAAAGGCATACAGATTGGAAGTAAGAAATAAGACTTTCCTCTATTCACAGATGACCTGATCTTGGATATAGAAAAGCCTAAGGAATTCTCAAAAAAGAAAAAAAAAAAACTATTGGACTAATAAATGAATTCATCAAGATTATAGAATATGAGATCAATTTACAAAAGTTAATTGTATTTCAATACACTAGCAATGAACAATCAGAAAATAAAATTAAGAAAGTAATTATATTACAGTAGCACCAAAAGAATAAAATACTTAGGAATAAATTTCTAAAAGATGTGCAACATGTGTACACTGAAAACTATAAGACATTGTTGAAAGAAATTGAAATTAAAAAAGATCTAAATAAATGGAAAGATATCCTATGTTTATGAATTAGAAGACCTAACATTCTTAAGATGGCAATACTCCCTAGTTGATTTATAGATTCACTGCAGTCCCAATCAAAATCCCAGATGGCTTTTTTGCAGAAATTGACAAGCGGATCCTAAAATTCACATGGATATGCAAGGGACTAAGAATATCCAAACGATCTTCAAAAACAAGAACAAAGCTGGAGGACTCAAACCCCCCAATTTCTAAAGTTACTATACAGCTACAGTAATCAAGATAGTGTGGTACTGGCATAAAGGAGAGACTTAGAGATGGAAGGAATAAAATTGACAGTCCAGAAATAAACTCTCACAAATATGGTCAACTGATTTTCAACAAGGGTGCCAAGACCATTCGATGGGGGAAAGAATAGTCTTTTCAACCAATGGTGCTGGGACAAATGGATAGCCACATGGGATATAATTGAGCTCGCTCTTTAAATCATTCAGAAAAAAATTAGCTAAACATGGAGCATAGGCCTAAATGTAAGAGCTAAAACTATAAATCTCGTAGAAGAAAACATATGAGTAGATCTTTGTGACCTTGAGTTAAGTAGTGGTTTCTTAGATATGACACCAAAAGCATAAGGGACATAAGGAAGAATAGACAAATTGAACTACAACAAAATTAAAAACTTTTGTGCTGCAAATGACATCATCAACACAAGAAGTAAAAAAGTCTAAAAGAATAGGAGAAAATATTTGCAAATCATGTATCTGATAAGGGACTAGTATCCAAAATATATAAAGAATTCTTACAACTCAACAATAAAAAGACATCTAACCCGATTTAAAAATGGGCAAAGGGGGGCCGGCCTGGTGGCGTAGTGGTTAAGTTCATGCACTCCACTTTGGTGACCTGGGGTTCACGACTTTGGATCCTGGGCATGGGCCTACATACCACTCATCAAGCCATGCTGTGGAGGTGTCCCACACACAAAATAGATGAAAATTGTCACAGGTGTTAGTTTAGGGACAATCTTCCTCAAGCAAAAAGAGGAAGATTGGCAACAGATGTTAGCTCAGGGCCAATCTTCCTCACCAAAAAAAAAAAAAAAAAAAGGGAAGAAAGAAAAAGGGCAAAGGATTTGAATAGACCATTCTCCAAGGAAGATATACAAATGGCCAATAAACGCATGAAAAAATACTTAACAGTATTAGTCATTAGGTAAGTGCAAATCAAACCCACAATGATTCTTCAAAAGATTGAACATAAAATTACCATTTGACCCAGCAATTCTATTCCTAGATATATACTCAAAAGAATGGAAACAGGTGTTCAAACAAAACCTTGTCCACGAATGTTCATAGCACTATGCACAATAGCCAGAAGGCAGAAACAGTCTAAATGTCCATCAACTGATAATCAAAATGTGATAAATCCATACAATGGAATATTATCCAGCCATAAAAAGGAATGAAGTCTGATACATGCTACATCATGGATTAATCTTGAACGAATTAGGTTAAGCGAAAGAAGCCAACTATAAAAGACAACATAATACATGATTCCATTTATATGGAACGTCCAGAATAGGCAAATCTACAGAGATAGAAAGTAGATTCATAGTTACTTGGGCTGAGGAGGGGTTGAGGGAGATGAAGCATTACTGCTAATGGGTATGGGATTTCTTTTTGGGGTGACGAAAATGTTCTAAAATTGTGATGATGGTTACACAACTCCATAAATATTGTAAAAACCATTAGATTGTACGCTTTAAATGGGTGAATGATA